ACCCTTAACAAAATAGGGACATGTGTACAAAGATAACTAATGTCAAAGTAACAACCTTGAGTCATGAGAATAAGTTAAATGGACTTCCACTCTGTGTCACCTCTCTCACTACCTGCATGAGAGAAGTGGCCTATTGAATTGGCCGGGATAGAAACATTTGATTTAATATTGCATTGGCCAAAAAGTCTGTATGGTTTTTTCTGTAAAATAAAAGACACATTTTTCATTTTCACCAAAAACTAATGATTTGATTATTCTGAGTAAGTTGGCTATCTCCTGCTATTGGCTTCTAGTGGGTAGAGACCAGAGGTGCTGCTAAACACCTTCCAATGCATTAGACAGCCCCAGAGCAAAGAATCATTTGGCCAAAATCAATAGTACCAAGAAACTTTGCAAACCACTTTTGACACATTCAGTCACAGCACCTTCTGCAAACACTGCATAAATCTTTGTGTTTCAGTTGTTTTTACCTTTCTTGAAATAATAAAGCATAATTCGCTGAAACGAATGTGTATCTTCTTCCATCTCCAATAGTAAAATTGATGCACAAAAATTCACCAATTTTCATGTTTTTTTCAAGTGCAAGCTGATATGATAGCTGTCACAATACAATCTAACAAAATTGTTTCAAATGAAGTTAAAGACAACTAAGCACAACTAGAGCCATTTTACTGAACTTTTTTAACCAACCCAGTATTTGGAGTTCCTTCTTTCAGAGAAGGGATGGAAGGAGGCTACCACCTTCAAGGGGCTGTTTAACCTTCCACCCGACCCTCTGAAGGTCAGGAGCACTTAATATTTTGGTGCCTAAAAGTCAATGGAAAAAATATCTCACGAAGTGCGTGCCAAATTGTAGAGAAATGAATCTGATCCTAGCAGACTATGTGTGCAATTTCTTCCTCAAAGGTGTGACCAGAGTGGGAGTGGAAAAAAAGAAAAAACTATGAAGACAGTTTCTCCCTGATTTCCTGAGGCTCTTCCCCATCCATATCTCTAAATATACAATGTGATAGTTTCCCAAATAAGCTAATTTTAATACAATACATAGTTATGTTCCTCAATAGACTTTAGGTTTATAAAGAACACAAAGTTATTGTATATGATTGCTTTCTATCATAAGGCCTTTACATGTTTTTAATTTTGTCATTTCCTCCTCTTCCCTTAGAGAAAAGGAGGATAGAGGAAATTACTTTCTCCCTCTTTAGAATGGAAACTCCTTAATGACAAGGGTTTGTTTTTTTAAATTTATTGTTGTATCCCAACTGCCTAGAACAGTTCCTTGCACATAGCTGGAACTCAAATAATTATTGAAGGAATACCTGGATCTTGTAAAATTGCTGCCCAAAACCTAGAAATATAAAAAGAATTGTTTGGAAACAAACCTATTTCAAAAAATTGTTAAAATACTTTATTAATATATACTTTGAATTCTAAAGTATTTTGAAAATTGGAAACTTAATGACCATTTTAGTTCCTGCTATAGTTAGCAAAATTATTTTATGTCACTAGTTCCAATGATATAGTCTTATAAATCAATGGATGAACTGTTATCTCACTCCATTCATTAAGCAATATGCTAGTCACTGAACCTCTACTATGTATCTGGTACTACACTTCAGGTCCAAGGACTAGAGAGGCAGCAGACCGTAGTAAAGATACGGTCTCTAGAGCCAGACTTCTGAGTTCATATCCTGACTCCACAACTCCTCAGCTATAGTGTATGTTTCCTGGCAGGTCACTTCACTTCTCTGTATTCAGTTTCCCTACAGTAGAATGGAGATAATAGCAGCTACCTAATAAATAAGGTAGTTGTAAGGATTGAGAGAGGTGACATACAAAGCATTAAGAACAGTGTGTAGCAAGTACTATAATTATGGATCTCTGTCACCATAGAATTTTCCTCTAAGGATTATTACAGCCTGTTTTCCTATTTACAAGTCTGTTACTTTCCACTAGATTGTGAACTGCACAACCCCAACCCCACATCAGCTCAGTTCAGACTGTGAACTGAGGGCAGTTCACCTTTAACTCAAGATTGCAATCCATGTAGCATTCAATAAACATTTGCTGAGTGAATGAAAATGAGAATTAAGAAATCTATAAACGTATGCTACTTCAATGTAAAGCAAGCTGGGATAAAAAAAACTGAGGGGGAAAGTATCATTACCTATAAAGCTTAACCTCCCAGAAAGTCAGGTAGATGGTTATACCAGAATAACGCAACTTTAGGCATTAATTTTAGCTACTAAAGTATGTTCACGGTATCACATTCCTTAGGGAAGGGTCTATGGCCAGCTAATGAATAGCTACTAATCCTACCTCAGCAGTTTCCTTCTTCTGTATCTTTGAGCAACTTATTTTTCACAGGAAGGTAATTCCATCTCGTTAAGAGCAGCATGAAGCCTAGTTAGTGTCAGAATGTTTGATGATGAAAAGGGAAAGAACAAACTGCATATTTGGTTCTTTCTGCTCTTTGGAACATTGCAGTTGAGAAGCAGGAGGGTGGGAGCTTCCTGCTGACTTTCACAATGTTACAGTGTGAAGACAGGTTACTATTCTTTGCTTAGATATCTGGGCAGTCTGCCAAGATCCAAAGGAGAAATGTCTTTGCTCTTGGCAGGGCACTAATGACCTTCTTACAGATGCAGGCTCTGTCTTGCACATGTGATCAAGTCTCAGTTATAAAGCCTGAATTTAAGTATGCTTTCCGTTATTCTACAGAATGACCCATGTATTCCCTTTTTTCTTTCTTGCTTTCTAATTTATATTTCTGTAACATAAAAGACAAACAGTATTGTTCAGATTCCTTCATATAGTTTATCCTTTTTGTCACTCCCTACAAAAGGACATAAGCTAAAAATTCCCTCCTTAAAAAAGCTGCTTTGAATAGCCTACCAGAAGATGGCTCTTTTCTAACTCAGTGACTGTTCACATACCCTTTTGAGGAGGCAAAGAGATTCTGAGTCATGTGAAAATTTGCCGTCAGTTTTGGCACACTGATAGGACTGGTCCTCATCAAGGTCTCTGCATTACCTGGTGCTCAGTGACCTTCCACGGGTGAGCCCTGGCTTGATCTACTGAATAGCAAATCAATACCAGAATGGGGGCCCAGGATCTCTCTGTGACCTTGGGAAAATCATTTGACCTCACCAGGCTATGTTTTAAGGTTAGAGAAAATAATCTCCAAATTCCCTTCCCATAATTTATAAACTCCAGTATTCTAAATTGCAAGGAATAAAGCTATGAGGTAATATAAATGCTGATAACGTATTTTAGTTTATATTCGCAGAATGAGCTTTCTTCTTCATCCAGAACCTCAGCTACTAAAAATAAATTTTCATTATGACTTGATAAATGCCTGTATGACACAATATGGTAAAATAGAAAGAGTGTAGTTAAGATTCTTGGGGACAAACTGTTGTGTGACCTTGAACAAATCACATTCTCTTTGGGTTTCAATAAACTCAATTTTAAGATATGAAGTGGGGAATATCTGTCAAAATGACTTTTAAAAGGTCCCCATCAATTGTAAAATTATAAAGTCTGCAGTTCTCTGATGATAAATGTCTCTGCTTTCTTGCTAAGATTAGGTCAAGAACCACGGAAACCATCATTTAAATGATGAAATATGTTATTTGATGAAATCAATAAGAAATCTAGGTTTAACTGAGAATTAGTAGCTGTCCCCATTGGCTCCCCTGTAAAAGGTAAATGGAGTAATCCCCCTGGCCTTTGTTCAGGTTCTGGAAAATTTCCAATCTATTCAAATATTTTCCCACATTCCCCACTCATTTTAGTATTTTGCGAAGGTCAAATAGTCTCAACTATAAATACAAGTACCAACGCAATTTTTCAGTCTGATGTCAAATGTCACCTTCAGACACCGGGCAGATCATTACTACGTCAGAGTTCCCTCACCACCGCCTCCCCCTTCTGCTTTCAGCAAACACGGGATGTGGTAATCCAGGTATCCGGATCTTCAGGACAAGATGGTTACATTGTGTAACATTTCAAAGTAGTGGGAAGCAAGATGGGTGGAGGTGGAGGATGGTAAACGGGGGATAAATGGATATGGAAAAATACAATAAACTACTAAAAATAAAATGAAAAAATAAAAAGTGGTTCTAGATTTCAAAACATGCACATCAGTAAAAAATATATGCACTAGTTATTTGGCTGCCGTTGCTGTCACTGCCACACGTCCTGGTATTACAAAAGTTCAGCGAGCGGGTTTTAAATGGCAGTAAATTAGATATGGCTGAAACACGTCTCCCGAAAACGCAGATCGTAATCTGGAGCACCTGGTAAACACTATCTTTGGTCGAGGGCCTTCTAGTTTCAAGGGCTTTGCCGACAAAAGCCTTAAGAACACTATGGGCATAAGAGGAGAAAAAAAAGATTAGGACTGCCCCCCAATCCCCGCAATCAAACCCCATATCGTGCTTTGGAGAAAATCCACAACTTCTTATTTTTGTATCTCAGGCCGCGCCCTTCCAAAATCAGAGATTTCTCTAGAGTTCTTCTAAGAAACCCTCTCCCCAGGTGGAAACCAATCCCTTTCCCATTACTGGGTCACTGCGACAGTCCCCAGAAGGTAAGTCGGGGTTTTCCAAAGGGCAAGGGCACAGCTGTCCCCCAAAAGTCCTTCAAGCGCAAGGAACCCCATACAAGGCAGTGAAGGCCAGATGTGGGCAGGATCTAGGGGCCCACACTCACCATGATGAGGGAAAGCACGGACAATTCCGGCACCTGCGAAACGAGCTCAGGGAGTCAGGTCACCTCTACAGCGGGACCGACTGCGGGGGAAAGCGCGCTATTTGAGAGAGAAGGCTCCGCTCCCGACCGCGGTGCCCTCTGGGAACTGTAGTTTATGCTTTCCTGATTCTATCGCACTATCCAACTCATTTTCTTTAAGTGTGAACTACACTTCCCGAAGTCAGAGTGTCTTCTCACGCCCTTCTCTCTGCGCTCCTAGCCGATTGAAAAGTAGTCCCGGAAGGTGAGCCGCTGTGATTGGAGAACGGCGATAATCAGATGGTCTGGACTCAAGAGTAAAGGACTATTTGATGGCGCCCAGCAAGTCGAGGGAGTAGAATCAGACCCCTTAGCTACCTCGTCCACATGTGCACAACTTAGACTTTACCTCCCTCAAGGGTAAACGTGGGAGGTAAAGAGACCTTCCGCTGCGTACAGCCCGCGCGACCCGGAAACAAAATCTTTTAAAAAAATTATTCACACACTCGAGAGGCGGGAGAAATTGACGTGTCGGAAAGACTGGAAGGCTTCTCCTGTTGCTAAGCAACTAGGCTGGAGAGCAAGCGCAAGCAAAGGCGGATGTGGGGCTACCTGAAGAATCAGTGACTGCCGTTCCCCTGATACTCAGAAGACCAAGTGAGTGAGTCGCGCCCTGCTTGTCCTCCTTTCTTAGCCAGCGGACCATCCACCCCAGACTGTCAGGTGACGAGGTGGGAGGTTTGCGGGGACGCTCTCTGCGGAGGCCGGGACCGCGGGTCCTCTCCTCTCCACAGGCAGGTGAGCCCGGGTCGTAGGACAGGGTTTTTGTTTTTGTTTTTCTTTCTTTAAAAAAAAAAAAATAATAACTTGAAGGTCCGGGATGCAGTTTTGCGCCGTCGGGCGCTGGCTTTATCGACCCAGGTGCTGATATACCCGGCGGCTGCGCTCGAGCTCGCCGGTCCCTTTTCCGCGTAGTGTTGGGGCAACGATATTCTGGAGGGTCCCCTCCCCGCTGTGAGATGCAGCTCTTTAAAAGTTAAATGAAAAGCATTGAGCGCCTGTTTTGTGGGAGGTGAGCCACTCCGTTCCTGGAGCTCACGGTCCACGGATCTAACTTTTTCTCCATGTCCTTGTGAATGTTGACAGTTTTGCTCTTTCTCTTTTGGAAACTGGGTGTTCCTTAAACCATCTTGATCTTTAAATGATGCCACACCTGCACTTCTAAGGAAAGCGTGGCAGCCTAATGGGAGACATTGATTGTTTCAGGCACTCTCAACTGGTAAAAAACTTAAGAGGTTTTCATTCATAATTTATGCTGCCAAGAGAATTTTTGTGTTCTCTGAAACCCTGTTTCATGTGGATAGTAAAATGAAGATGTGATGCTTTAGAATAGTATATATGTAATGAATGTAAATGAAATATCTGTACTAGATAACATTGGTATAATATTTTTTTAAATCATTGGTAAATGAATGCGAAGTGGTATCTTTAAATTTTTTGCTCTTCAGTTTTGGAGGGTTCGCTATTTTGGGAGAGTAATATAATACCTTACTTTTCAACTTGATCTATCAATAGCATTTATCATAACTGAATGACTCGACCTTGAATCACTATTCACTTGGCTCTCAGACAAGATTTCTGGTTTTCCTCTTATGTCAGTGCTTGCCCCTTCCCAGTGTTCCTTGCCAAGTTCTTTTTTACTTCTGACCTCTTAACATTGGAGTGCCTGTATATGTTTGCCTACACTTAAGTGATCTGTTTCATGAATTGCATGGTTTCAAATGCCACTTCTGTGTCAGAAAACTCCCAACATGCAAACATATGTTAAGTTCCTGGTTTTTTTTTTAAGGCTCTTGAGCTGTGTTGTCCAAGACTGTAGCCTCTGGTCGCACATGGCGATTTAAATTTAAATGAATTAAAATTAAATAAAATGAAAAATCCAACTCCTGTGTCATACTAGCCACAGCCACATATCAAGTGCTCAATAACCACATGGGACACAATACAGAATATTCATCATCACAGCAAGTTGTTTTGCACAGCTGTTAGAATTTAGTGAAAACAAGGCATCAGCCAGAGCAGGGGCAGCTGTAACTTATCTTTGCTGGGGCATTTCTTTAGTCACTGTGTTCCCTATAGAGTGCATAGCTGTTTGTGATACTCAATACAAAGGAAGGATATTGTCAGAGAAAAGGAAGAAACCCAATTCTTGTCTTAACCATAACCTTCTTATTGTGGAAGAACACATATTCACATTCTCCATGTGTCTATTTAGAAATGTTTACAAACATTACATTATCCTGGATCTTGAACCAGACAGCATCAGCAAGCCTACCGCCTTCAGGAGAAGTTGAGAAAGATGAGTCGTTCCCCTGGTGACACCAAACAACATTTGTCTGCTATTATTCTGAAATACCTATGTCCCTGCCACATTTTAAGTAGATGAAAAAGCATGTGCCAACGTAGAGGCTTAAAATAGCGTGACCAGCTCAGACCCTACCAATAATGGTGGTAAGGAGAGAGAGGAATCCAGTTGGGACATCTCTATATTTTAATGTGTGTAACAGGTCTATGTTGATATGTGCTATTTATGAACTTTCATAATATATATTTTTATTTGGAAATATTTGCTTTCTTTGTCCTTCTCTCTATTATGAGTTCTTCCTATTGTGTTGCTGGGTTTGTAATTTATAATATTTTCAGTTTAGGTTAAACAAACATTCTTTTTGTCAATCAAATTTCACAATAATTGTAATTTTTAAGAAATGAGAAAGAAGAGAGATGTCACTGGAGAGGGACCTAAGGGGAATTTAAATGTATTGGTGGGTAGAGAAAACATGGGGTATTAATTTTATTATTTGCGCAAATGTACTTACCAGCCAGCTTCACACAGAATATTACCAACCCCTTCGAGAGATAATATGCTGATATAAACACACACATATATATTCACTTTTGTGATTATAGATATATTTTGTGATCATAAAAAGAAAGTAACAGGACTTTCTCTGAGTCTGAGTCCAAGCAGTGGCCGGTGTAAAGAGCAGTTTCTACTTGTAGGATGGGGAAGCAAGACCCGTGGGAGAGACCCCTTCTTCCCAAAACTTGGACTCAGACCTCTTCAGAAAGGGCATGTCTGCCATGGCTAAATCATCTGCAGAAGTGCCCACTGTCAGGGGGGACACTGAGACCTGAGGCTGCAGCTGGAACTTGTCTCCTCAGCAAGGCTCTTGGGCTCTCATGCTGAATATTCATAATAATGGAGACCAGAATCCAGAAGGGACGTGTGTCACTGCTGCTATTACCTTATAAGGTCACTCCACTGCCCTCTCTCAAGTTGGCAAGGGAGAAGTGTTTAGAGTCTAGGTCCAGAGTCACAAAGCAGGCCAAAAAAAAGTAGATTTGGATCTGAGAGATAATAAACTGATAACAGACACACCCATGTGCCCACCAACTAACTTCTACAATTGTTAAACATTTTGTCATATTTACTTTATCATCTCTCTATACATCTGTACATTCCCATGAAGTCTTTTTTTGATTCATCAGCCCAATGATTATGCTTTGTTTTAAATTTTGGATTTAAAAATTATCTACAAAACTAACTTTTGGTGGGAAAGAAGTCACTGTAGTGTTTCCCTCGAGGGTTGGGAGTTGGGGGAAGGGTCGCTGACTGGGCATAGGCATGAGGGAACTTTCTGGGTGACAGTAATGTTCTATGCCTTGATAGGAGTTTGGGTTACAGAGATATCATCATTGGTAAAAATCTGGAAATTGTACACTTAAGATTTGTGCATTTCATATTTGTAAATTTTATCTAAAAACTTAAAATTTAAACTCTAGTTAATGATAAGAATGCTGAAATATTTAGGGGTGAAACATATTTATGCCTGCAACTTCCTATGAAAGTCATTAAAAATTGAAGATGGATTGATGGATGTATAGAAGGATGGTTATGTTCACAGAAAATTAAAATATAAATAAACCAAATATATGAGGAAATACTGTATAGTAAAACGTTGTAGAATTTAGGTGGTGTGCACTGTACAGTGCTTTCAACATTTCTGTATCAGTGATAAGACTGATAATTGCCTTGAGTTCAGATATTGTCCTATACATTGATAAATGCCTCATAGAACACAACTTGATGCCTTCTTCACAGTAGGTATACGAGGGGTGTCTGGTCTTTTGGCATCTCTGGGCCATACATTAAATACATTGTGATACATAATCACAAAAAAATCCCATAATATTTTAAGTAAATTAGTGATTTTGTGTTGGGCCGCATTCATAACAATCCTGGACTGCATGAAGCCCACGGGCCGCAGGTTGGACACCCCTGGAAGTGGAATGCTTTTAAAGTTGTCATTGTGGAAGTTGGAAAACTAATCTGAGCTTAATGAACCTAATCAGTTTCAAACTTTTTGCTAGGCAGAAATTTTATAAACACAAATTATACTACATATTGGAAAATGATTGGAAGAAGTTGTGAAATAGTATATCTATAATTTTAGATGTAATTTGATACTTTAATAAAAATTTATATATTATCAACTTTTTGGTAAATAGACTATTATTGTTTACCAAATCATTTAGTTAAATTATTAGGCTTAATCTTTAGGCAGGATTAAGAACAGTTTAGATTTTAAAATATGTATTTAGCAAAATTATCTTTTTTTCCCAATATGATGCATTTATTATCTAGTATGCTTGGTTTGCCTGGGGAATATACTGTCATGGGCGCCATCTAAATCAAACTACTGAGAACTTTAGATGGAGACCCCTCAAAATAGGTATATGTTATTTTTAATGGTTTCATAATCTTGCTACAGACTTTAGAGTTTATGTTGCAAAATGTTTATTATAAAGATAAGACGTTGCAAATTGTCCCCAAAAGATGGGATTGACTGGGTAAGTATTGCTGTTCATAGCATTGCTTCTGAATCTAAGTCCCCTGCTCCTTTATTTTATTTATTTTATTTATTGATTTGAGGGAGGGAGGGAGGGAGAGAGATCAGTTTGTTTTTCCAGCTATCTGTGCATTCATTGGTTGGTCCCTTTATGTGCCCTGACGGGGGATGGACCCTACAGCCTTGGCTATCAGGACAACGCTCTAACCAGATGAGCCACAAGGCCAAGGCCCCCCTACCCCTTTTTTAGTTGAACAATTCAGTGCCTTAGTTCCCAAATCTGTTTTTGTAATACCCTCCCATATTTGACTGTTTACTTTTAAAGAATTGTGGCACAGGAATTTGGGTATTTATATGTTCAATTTAAAATGTAGCCTCTGTAAATGAGTCAGGTCTTCATGACTTGCAGCTGGCATTTGTCATGTGATGGTTTCCTTGGTCTGTCTAGTTCATGTCAAAAGGACTCCAAATTAAGGGAGGTGCTGTTTTTCTAGACCCTCACAAATTTAATCATACTGTATTACATTTTACAAAAAGCATATATGTTTATGTGTGTGTACATATAGTAAAAATACAGTATATAGTACATAATATTGAATATATAATATATAGTTTAATCTGAAGTAGAATGAATATTTTTCTCATTTTACAGTTTAGGAAACTCAGTTTCAATGGTATGAGCTCTTCTAGCCAAATGTCCAGGAAATTAAGATCTTACTCATTTTCTAAAACTACATATTTCATCACAATTTTAAAATTAACATCTAAAATATATCATATTCATATAGTTGTAAATGTTGTAATTTTCAGTTTATTATAAGTATTGAATTTTTAAATAAAACTTTCTCTTCCAAAAATATGCAATGGAATCTAGATATACTAGTGGTA